AAGGATGCCAAAAGCTGTGATCAGTGTTCAATGAAATAAAAATACAGGAGCTGCCATGGTGTATAGTGTAGAAAAGCATCCAAAGGCCCAGGGAAGTAACCATGCTAAAGTGGATTGGCTATGTAAAGTTAAAAATGAAACAAAATAAACAAAATAGTCAGCTAACTGCATTCCCAGGATGTCTTGTGAGAGGAGAGACAATTTTGCAGCGAAGTTGGCAGTGCCTGTTATCTGTAGACCAGGGCTAACTGTGTTATAAAAACAAGGCTATTTGTTGGCTAGGAGAACAACAAGATCTCAAAATAACATAAGCCAGGTTGTAATGCTCAGCTTTCAGAAGTAATGTGGGACCATCTGTTCCAAATCACAGTGGTACTGCATAGGCACCCAGAGGTCCAGTTTGGAGATGGTTAATAGAAGATGATGTTTCTAGATGTACTGCCAAAAAGGGCATTGTTTAATTCATACAGCCAAAATAAATCAGTGAGGGAGAGGGCAGAATCCCAATAAAAATTGCAATTCCTTGCCTGGTTTCCAGATCAGACATTGACTTAAAGAGTGACTGATTCCCTATGAGAAAGCCTTTTCAATATGGGGACGCATCTACCCATATGATATTCCTACGGTCCTTACCCTGGAAACTGTGGACCAATTCTTCAAGTAAATATGCTTTGAACTAAAGGACCCAGCACTTTTGAGATTACTGAACACTGGGTCTCAACTGACACTAATACTTGGAGACCAAGAGAGTCATCATGACTCCCCACTGCGGCAGAGGCACACAGGGTCGACCAGTGTCCGAACTAACATGTGGCTCTCAGTGGACCGACTGCTCCATGGCTGATTGCTCCTTTCCCTCATTTCCAAATACATAATTTCAAGGGTCACTCTTGGTAGTTTTGAAACTCACATTGATTCCTTAACCTCTTAGATAAGGATTATTGTGGTGATGAGGGCAAGGAGAAACTCTGACACTGCTTCCTACCCCAACAAAGAATAAACAAAAAAGCAGTGCTGAATTCCAGAGGCAATGGGAAAAATCAATGAAACTCTCCAATACTTGATTATTACCATGGCTGCTCTAAACTTCCATTGATTTCACCATATTGGCCTTCTTTTTTTGCCAGACCCATCGGGAAGGAGAGCCAGATATACTCTGCACTGGGATAGACAACAATTTATGTTCAAGGTCTTGCCTCTGGCCTATATATATTTTATTATCCTTTGTCAAAATATAACTGAAAAGACTCGGGTTATATGGACATTCCGTAAAACACTACTGATCTATCTTATGAATGATATCCTGTAGTAGGACCAGTTGAAAAATATGGGACAAGTACATTGGAGGTCTTGGAAAGCATCTACAGTATGTACCTTAGATTGTGTAATTTTATAAACTTTATGAATGTTCAGGAAATTTCTGACTCTAGACAAGATATAGTAGAAATATTTCCCCTGTCCCTCCCACTAAAATCTTTAGATATTTATCTATCACCTATTATCTGTCTATCTGTCTTTCTATCTATTATCTATCTATCTATCTATCTATCTATCTATCTATCTATCTATCTGTCATCGATCTGTCTATCTGAAGGAGCCTGGCATTGTGGTGCATACCTATAATCCCAGGACTCTGGGAGCCTGAGAAAGAAAGATCTTAAATTGAATCTCAGCCACTTAGCCACTTAGCAAGACCCTGTCTCAAAAATAAAATGAAATAAAAAGAAGTTCCATATGAAAGCTCTGGATTCAATCCGCCTTTCTGTTAAGAAAGTAGACGAAGGTGGGCCAGATAGGGAGCTCGGGATTCAGGAACAATTGTGACAATGAGTTCCCTGATTTTATTTGTTTTAGGCTGAATACCAGAGAAGCTAGTAAACCAGAAACATCCATGGATACACCCCAACTACAAAACAGTTCGGTTTTCCATATTTTGCTTTTGGTAAAGTGGATGGACAGCCTGCTGTGCTTGAGAAATAGTCACCAACAAATTGAATGAGGAGGGTGACAACAGTAGAGGTTGCAGAGTCTTCTGAAGAAGATGACCTGATGTTTGAATAGCATCACTTCTGATTTGGCCTTATTGTCATCTCTCATGCAGACACTGATCATCAGCAAACTTTCTAGGAGCACAAAGTTGTTCATTCGATAGCAAAAATTCATTTTCATTGACTTCATAACTTAAAAATCAGCCATGTAGACTGGAATAGCTTAAGCCAAAGCAGAATATCTGGTCCCATTTAATAAACAAAGATGAATTATTTCTCACTAAGTTAAATTTAATTCTTTTGAATTTCATACAGTGAGTCAACCACGTGCAGTTTTATGAAGGATCTTACTGTTTATTGATCATCGAGTTTCTCGAATGGCAGATAGTTCAATGAGTAGAGAAATGGCAACAATGTGAGACTAAGAATTGTTTAAATTAAGAAATGTCAAAACCAGCGAGAGGTTGAGTGTGAAAATGAACAAAACTCGTGACAATTTCGGGCCCGTGCGGGAGACAAGAGCAGTACATTGGCTGCCAAAGGGAAGTGGGGAGGCTGACAGTGAGCCTCTGCTTGAGCAGTTCTCCGGGCTTCCTCCTGCAGTTTTTCCTACTGAGAGGGCACGGTGAGGACGTCCTGTCTTCCACTGGTGGGGAGTAAGGTAGAAGAGCGGCAGCTCCCCAGACCAGGACCAACAGCCAGTCCCACCACCTCCACTTCTTCAGCTTCTGATTCTGAGTTTCCTTGATGATGTCAGGCCCCCGTCATCCTTGATGATGTCATGTGATGTGGGCCAGGGGTTGAACTCTTGGTGGCTGGACAAATGCACTCTAACACACAGAACCCCTTTGCTCCCCACTGAAACAAGTTTAGAATTCCACTTTTATGGCACATCCCACCAGGATCACGTATAATCCTAGAGTATCTTTATTTGTTCTATAATTTAATAGTATACCTATAAAATAATTACATTATACTTATAGCTTTTTTTCATTTATAAACAAAACGGAAAACAATTAAATACACTTTGAGCCATTAGAAGGTAAACTTTATACATACAATAACCCCCCAAAGGAGATTCACCCTGCAGCATATCATATTGCTTTCATCGCTACACGCACAAATGGGTTCCAAGAGAGGGCTCAGGTTTGTATTCTGTGAGTTCCTAGCTTACTCCTTCCCCTATGTGGGTTCTGTGTTAATAAAATGATAGGGTTGAACTTGCAGTTGGATCGGAGACTCCTCTGCTGCCCTCCCACTCTCCTCCATCAACTTGCATTAGGATCACATGAATTTCCTCCCTTCACAGCTTCTCTGAGTCTGACTTGAAGTTTTCTACTAAATGTGAAAATCAATCCTGACCTTGTAAACCCTCTCTGTCTGTCTCCATCTTCAGGTTCCAGCCCCAGTGATTTTTTTTTTTTTCATTTCTGCCTCCTGTAAATATGCATTTCTGAGGCAAGGATGCCCTTCACAAGAGTACAGCCTGTGCTCAGGTGTCTTTTTTTGAATGGTAGTTAAGAAATAACAAAATGTAAAACTTCGGTGCAGCAGCAGGAAGTAATCACCAACACGCCACACTTCACCCCAATCCTTGCTCTCCAGGTGACAGACTAGATCTGCTTGACTGGGTAGTGTCAGGAAGCCTCAGTGCCCAGAGCAGCTTGTGAAGGGTCTCTCTCATTTACTAAGCAACCAAACCTTCAGCAGGAGTACTTGCTTGGAAGTTGCAGTGAAACGTTTTTAGTGTACGCTGCCTCGTACCAATGACAACTCATTCACATTTATTAGACCCCATAAACATCACTCACAGGGAGGCCTTGCTAAGTCAATTTAGCAAAGGGACTCAAAGTAGGTATAATTTGCAGGAAAATAAATTATGTCAACTTTCTTATATAAGGGACCAAAACACAGAAAGTTCAACAAAACCTTAGAGTAACAAAAGGGGACCTACTGTTTGTTCAGTTTTTAAAGTCTGTTCTTTGGAAAGGATATTAGTTGCTTTCTCTAGGACTGTTCAACTAGATAACTATTTTCTATATATTTATCCTTTACTTCCCCCAGCATCACAAAGTGACTTGATTCCTTATATTCTTAAATATTTCTTTAACAGGAAATGTGTTTTTTTTTTAATTTCTTAGTTCCATGGCGGTAAAAACAGTACCGCCTCCCCCCACATATGCATATTAAAATTATAAGGGGGCTTGCATTAAGAAGTTCCCAATAAATCTCTCTCCCCAAGCTCATTCATCCCAACTCAATTTCTACATGTGCTGCAATGCTTTAGTACCTTCAGTGATGCAATATTTAAAGTAAAATCATGACTCCCCCATCTCCCTGCCCAATCTAAAATAGGTGCATGGCAGTGAATTGCTGGCCAGGCATGACTTCTGAGTACAATACCTTCTGGGCAGATCGTCACCTGATTTCCACCCTACTCAGAAGGCTCCTGCAAAGCCAGGGTCAAAACACGTGAAACAATACATGGATAGATCTAGAATACTTTTTTTTTTTAACAGCTCTTTACAATATAGGTCAATTATAAAACCAACGTTAATATAGAGACCTTGTGTGTGATAATATTCTAACTGCAGCGGTAAGAGCATGCACACCAGAGTTCATCTTGAGTCCACAGGTGGGACGGGGGAGGAAGGAGGGAGAGGTGGTGGCGTCTGCAGGTGGGGAGCGCGCGGCCTGCCGAGAGCGAGGCCCCCACTCCCTGATCCAAGTTGCTCCCCCGCCTTCCCGCTATCGGGTTTATTAGCAGACTTCCGTCCACGGTCATCCCTTTCACGGACGTGGTCCACACCGGCGTCGCAGCAGCAGCCCGGGGCAGCCTGGAATCGGGAATGAACGCGCCCACCCGCCAGAGGTCCGGAGACCAGCGGGGCAAGATCGAGGGGCTCCGCGCAGGAGTGACGCCTGCCTCACCAGGGAGGAGCGAGTGGGGTGCACAGCGAGGCCGGGAGACTCGCCTCCACAGGGC